ATATCACTCATGAATCGCATTCTGAATCACTGCTGTCCCCGTGATGTTTCACACAGCCTGTTCATCGAAAAATATGCATTCTTCTTGACCGGATGAGAAACAAGGATTGATTTTTCTTCCATGCAATCTATAAGAGCACATGTTATGCTTCTCACAAACTTTCCAATTCCCTGTATCTCTGTTTCCATGCTTGTCAAATCTCGCGCAGATCTATCCGCTGTTGGAACCGTTTGTACGATTAAGTAAACCGGAGACCAGTAACGATGATGTGGCTCGTGGTGATCGCTTGGTGCGACTCTTGGTCAAGGGTCTCTTGTACGAGGCCTGTGTGGACTATTGTGCCCTGATGGCCACGGAACAAAAGGCCGAGATGCAAATCACCGGAATCCTTGGAGGTCAGTAAGCAAATGAGCACCCTTCCCCCCCACCTGTGTTTGCGACCTGTGTGTGTGTGTGTGTGTGGCATCTTGTGCGGTTTGTTCGCGTCTTTTGAACCAGATAAGTGTTTTTGCATGTGTCCTCCTATTTCGGAGTTCGGTAATCGTAGCCGGTAGACCGCTTCATCTGTACGCCCCGGCTCGTACAATCATCACACCCCGAATATTACTTACATACTTAATGTAATTTCTCTCTCCCTCTCTCTCTCTCTGTCAAAACAACGATATCAATCATTTGGACACGGTTTATCCTAGGGCATTCTTTTTTCGTATCATGAGTTGACACTCTCAACAACAATCTTTCTCACCCTCATTACTTGCAGCAGTTTCGGTTTTGTACGGCCGTAAACCGCACACTCTCGTTGCTTTGCCATGACTGCCCATCTCAGCGAATGACAGATTGGCGGGGGAAATAATTCGAATACTGAAAATAGCGTCAAAGTGAAGATGTCGTCAAGTTCAGGTAGTCGTTGGTTGTGAGTAATTGTCGTGGAGGTATCTATCGACAATTCCAAGCCATATTAACCATGGTCTCTAATCACCGATTACACTAATCCCAGTGTCCCTAAGCAGCAGAACCCGATCTATATTCCTCCAGTCAGGATCTGCATACCCTTGTATCATTCGTGTTACTTTCTTCCATCCACTACCTGCCTCGGCAAACATCGAACGCCGTGATTGTCTATTTGATGACATGTGTAACACACATACCCTAGTCAACGCAGCCCATCTATGTCGAGTAATTTTGCTAACGCACTATCACGGTTCCCTAAAACTTTTCCCCCAACCCCGGGTTTACGTTTCTGGTTGCTCCACCCGACTTGAGCAATGCAGTACAGGCAGTGGTGTGCAAACACTCAGAATCTGTCTTTATCAGGTTCCCGTCGCGACATCCGGCTGTCTGTGAAGGGTCAAGTGTATGCTGCGACAGTTCGGCCAGTCCTCCTATACAGTGCAGAAACTGGGCCATTAAGAGAACAGGATAAAGATAGACTGTCGGTGTTTGAACACCGCTGCCTACGCAGAATTCCACGAATCTGGTGGGGTAGCCGGATGAGCAATGCTGAGGTTAGGGGCAGAGTTTTGGGTATCCACTGGAGCAAGTGGTCCATAGATTACGATGGTTGGGACATGTGTTACACATGCCACCAGATAGGTTACCACAGTGAGCGATGTTCGCCGAAGCAGACACTGAGTGGAAAAAAGCCAAGGGTGGTCAAGCTAAGACCTGGCACGATGGTATGAAAACCCTAACCAGGAAACTGGGTCACATAGTTCTTTTTAGGCTCCCTGGCTGGGGACCTCGGGATGATCGTACCTCACGGTTAGAGACACTGCGTGATATGGCTGGGTGTCGCAAACAGTGGCGTTCGTGCATCTTCTCAATTTCTTTGCAACCTTAAACCACTGAACTTCTCCATTTTCTGTTCGACTTCACTTTCAATTTTCCCTTCTTTTCCTATTCTTCATCCAAATGGGCAACCAAAACGGGCGCACAATAGTGCATGGTTAATGGTTGTACAAACTGAAACTGATATACTGGTACCAGTGAACTGATTCATTAAGAACTTGATCGTTCACGGATGAAAGATGTGGCGGTGCCAGAGATTTCAAGTTGACAAAGGTCATCCAAGCTTTCTGTATGCGTGCCGACACTTGATGCTTCCTCAAGGCAAGGTCTAGCTTGTCAGAGAAAGCCTAACCTTCTCCTAAGAATTCTCGTCATTTGCATTTGAAATGGATTGAGATCAGCCGCTACTGTCAGAACACGTCGGCGTTTCCTCGACAGTCCTGCGTACGTGACCGTACCTTCTCTCCATCGGCACCCTCGTAACCTCGATTTCGGACAAACGATTAGACTGGTATGGGAACAGAGCTGATTCAGGAATCATCTCCATTGCATTGCTCAAGTCTGGTGAAGTAACCGGACCGGCAATGCCGAGGTTCGGAGCAGAGTTTTTGAAATTCACGGTCTCGTACGGTGTCAATTACTTAACCTCAACAGGCTATGCTAGCTTGGGCGTGTTACACATGTCAGCGCATAGAATTGCGAGGTTTTCCGAGATCGTTATTAGTGTTTGGACTAGGGTCAAAAGTGATCAAACCCAAACGCCGGCATGAGTATGAAAATCCTGATTAGGGAGCATGGACACGTAGATCGCGCTAGACTCCCCCAATTGAGATTATCATATTCAATGATTAGAGACTATGCTTCGTAGCTGTTTTTTATCTACTCATTTTCTACACAGTTCCAGTTCACTTAGTTTCTGTATCCGTATTTTGGTCATGTACGTGAATTTGCCTTTTTTTCTCGTTAGCTGACCATGTGGGTAACAACGATAGGCCACAACCAGCCCCGCCAACAAACAGTCCATGTTAATGACTCCAATATGGTATTTGAGACCGACACACAAATCATGAATTCGATTGTCAGTTCGCATACAGAAGGCTTGATTGGTTGGTTTGCCAAATTGAGACATCTGTGGTACCGTCGCCACATCCGGCTACCTGTGAACGGTCGTATGTGTGCTACACCAGTTCTGTTATGGTACAAAAGCTTGATCACTATGAGAACAGGATAGAACTAAACAGTTATTTTTCGAAAAAAAACTGTCTACATTGCACTGCACGAGTCTGGTAGAGAAACCTGATGAGCAATGCTGAGGTTAGGCACAGTTTTAGGTAATCGCGGTCGTCCACTGGAGCAAATGATCGACCTCCATAGATTACGCTGATTGCGGCATGTGTTACGCATGTCACCAAATAGGTTGCCACGGCGAGTGATGTTCACCCAGACAGGTAGTGGGTGGATAAGGTCAAGAGTGATCATCTGGCACGAGGATATAAAAACCCTAACCAAGATACTCGGTCACATAGATACCGTTCGGATCCATGAATGGGGACCCGGGATCATTGTAATCAATATTTAGAGACACTGGGTGATATGGCTGTGTCGTGAGCAGTGAACCTCGTGCATGTTCGCAATTTCTTTACGACCCTTGTCTACTGAAATTCTCCATTTTCTCTTAAACTCTACTTCCAATTTCCCCCGTCTTTCTCATACTGTTCTCCAAACAAGTGGCCGAAAAGCAGTAACCAAAATTGCCGTAAAAAAAGGTGGTTGTACAAACTGAACCGAACGGTATATGGATTCGATGCATTCGTATCAAACGAAACAAAACGGAATTAATTTTTCTGAATGATTTGCAATAAATAGATTGCGTGACCAGGTAAAATGTAATGAAATCGTGCACTGATGCTGTGTGATTCTTTATTCACATGCCACATGGTGAATTTTTTTCCTGGTTACTGATATGCGTCCATCCAGCAACGAGATCAAGTGAAACGTTCCTTTCTCTCTGGGAAACAATACTTTCTTGTTTCAATTGCAAAAGGTCCGGTAGCCTCGATGGGATTCGAACCTGCGCATGGATGCCGCTTCCACTTTCGCCCAGTGAACGCTCCATCAGCTGAGCTACGAGACCTCACCGATAGCATCGATCTTTTCACATTCGAATCACCCATCCAACTCACAGAGAGAGACAAATGAAATCCACCAGTTAGCATGTAAGCTGACTGCCACCACAGATTTTCGTTATAATTCACCAGAGTCCACCACATGAACTTCTGAGGCGAGGGTAATTGATCAAGTTGTTCTCAGCTGGTAGAACGGATACTGTACGAAAGCGTAGGCTGCGTCCATGCGTGGGTTCGAATCCCATTCAGGCTGCTGAACTTTCCCAAATTCAAACGACACCATTTGAACAATGTTTTCTTGGTTGTTGGCCAAACCACCACCACCACCCCCCCCAAGATCTAAATATCACTACATAAAGTAATACCTCCTTCTCCTATCGTATTCTTGCTCCTATCAATGCATTTATAGGTGATTTGGAAGAGGAGGAGGAAGCCGAACGCCGCTACAGTTCGTTGCAAACTGCTAACGTGCCTACCTTGAATGGAGATAGTGTGCAACCTGTGACGCAGAATTCACGCAATCGACAACCTGTCGCTCCGGATCTGTCTCTGAACTGTTGGCTACAGTCCCTCGGACCAGCAAGTTTTATTCAACCGTTCCATTCACAAGAACTACAATTAGTCGTGCATCCGATCAATCGACCCAAATTGGAACCAACGCTCTGGCCTGAGCATATTCTAGCCGAACCCACTGTTCGACCACTGGTCTTTCCCTACACTCATTTGCCAGCTTCATCGTCTGGCTTGCTCAGTTCCAGTATTCAGCGTTCCGGGATTGCTGCACGTCTAATGCGCGGACGTCTTCAAGGTCCGGGCGGGGAACTGGTTCGCTCGCTAATCCCCGCCTATGAAGGATTGTCTAGTGGACTTTTCCGTGGTGAGGCTACGGGAGCCTCGGTCGACACGATCACGAACGGTGGACCGTTGCCACCGACCAACAGTACTGGTCTAGTCCCGCGTATCAGTGGAATGCCACATTTCTCTCGCCGCCTGGTACGTTAATTGTTCTGTTCAATTTGTGTCCCAACCCTCATTCTTCAATTGTTCTTAAATGTCTACCAACAGAATCCATTGCTCCCAGTGCATATATGCTTTAGTTCGTATTTGTCCTAAATGCCACAGGTTCAGATTCTCTATCAATTCGAGCACATTGGTTGTTCGTTTCTCGGTATGAGAACTCCTGAGGCGTCTCTTTGTGTGTTCGTTGTAACGAATCGATTTGAGACCATTTTGTCAGCACAGTTGCTCTCTAATATCACTCCAAATATTATGTTATACTAATTCGAACACGGCTGTTTCTGACTGGGCGGCAAACAAATGACAGTATTGATAGAAAAGAAGGAAAAGCTTCATGATTTGCGCAAAGGTGCGATACTGATAGGTTGCCCGGAATTCGAAACCGGAGACCTGTCGTTTGCTGATAATAATCGATAACCCCCAATCCCCGGGACCCTGAGTAACGAAAAGCACGTAGTGAGCATGATATTGAATCGGACAACAATAAAGCTGTCGTGGCCAGGGTTCGAAACTCTACATTTCGGAGCCCAGAACACGCGAAGTGCATCAACATAATTCGTTAGACTGTAATCACTTACAAATGATGACAGGCCCAAGTGCTGTTCAATCAGATCGGCAATACCGATTCGGGATTGACGAGTACCCGTACACGAGTGGAGATTTTCACTTGCATTTTATCGAAGCCCAATCAGAAACTAGTCCAGTATGTGAACATATGACGTGTTTGGCCGATATTCAATAACACAATATTGTACGGTAAATGAGCACCGAATAAAGCGCTGTGTTAGGTCACAACACTGATCTACTTTCCTGTGTAACAATCGTAAAACAAATGCAGAACGGCACTGAATAGTATCGTACCGATGTATTCGGTGGTTACGGTCAAAATAAACTTATCCGTCCCCGAAAGACGTGTACCAATCCCGCCGCCTTTACTCACTCTCATTTCCTGTGGTGTATGGCAACCCAGTGATTGATACCTTGCCCACCCCACCCCCGCTGAGAATTGTATTATTCTATATGGTACAGTGGTTTAATCGTCAGCGGGTTAACGGTCCTATGGTCCGGGGCTCGAACCCAGTCACTACCACCGAACTTTAGTGCTAAGCAACCTTGCTGTCGTCCGGGTTCGATACCCTACCTAACCTTTTGTGGTTCGCCACGCCAGATCCCGCGGAGTTTAGCTTGCCGGTTTCCGTCACTGAACAGCTGGTCTACGCGACCATGGGGGGTTCACCCCGTTTGTTGCTCATCACACAAAAAGGTGTGTACTGAAAAGGAAGCAAACCATAAGAGTGATAATAATCAAATGTAATAATAATTCTCCCGACCCTACCCTTCTACCTGATAGATTCCTGGTGGACTGATGACCCACTCCCTGTCCGGTTTCCGCCTACCACCGAATCCGAATCGACCGGATTTCGTTGCTCCATCACGAGCCAACCAAGCTGCGTCGTCAGTTGTAGATGGTACAGCGCAACCGAACACTCACTCCCTCACTAATTCCCACCAAACTCAACAACAACAACAACCTAATGCACTCATGCAAGCCTCCGTTGATCGGTTGTTTGCAATGCACGGTCAAATGACTTCGAGCATCTCCGGTCCCGGGGATTTGTCCAACGCGGACGTTGCTCCAATCTTGCGCGGCTCCATGCTCCTTTCCAGACCGGGTACTGGACAGATGCAAGCGATCGCGGAGGAGCCGTCGGCAATGGTTGTCCCCGGTGCCGGTCTGACTGGCTCGGAAGAGATGCAGTTGGGCCAAGGCACGGCCGGGATGTCGGCCTCGGGGACCGGAAAAACCGGACGTGGTTCTGTCACTATGACCATGTCTGGAAGTCAATCGGAGAAAGATCAGCCCACCTCAATGCACAGCTCAATCATTGTGGATTCCGAACCGGGTAAGCCGGCAAGTGTTGTTGTTTTTTGTTTACATTTTCTCCCATCCCTGTGCGTACGTCCATTTTTTTTCAGGAACTGTGTATGGATTTGTTCACCGGCGAACCAGTCAAGAATTGTAATCACCATCACAGCACTGACAGGTCATGGGGGAAAAATCCGGATTAAATTTTGCATACTAGTAAATGATTGGTGACCCGGTATCCGGTTCAAGGTACAACTCTTCTCACTTGTCACGGTAGTTTCACTATCCTCCGGCGCCATTCCACGTGTATCCTAAACAGGATCCTGCATATTTGGCTACTCCAAGTCGTCGATTACTATTTCCGAACAGTTTATCACAATAAAGTGCATGTCAAAATGAAACGAGATATCAACTCTAACGAAACTTCCACTCGCCGCTCGATAATCTTTTAATACAGTTCTTTCAGGAAAAAAAACTGTTTTGTTCTCCACGTCGGCTGGTGTGTTGGTGTTTTACTCGGGTAGTGGTGACCCGGTACTAAAGGTCACCAAATTATAATTTCGGAATAAGTGTGTTCTAATCTCAACATCCGGTCATCATCATCATCGTACTGCGAGATACAGTGAAGCGAACTTCACTGATCGTTGCCAAGCTCACAATCTATACAAATCAAGTGATAAAGCATAGGATGGAGAGGGCTTGGGCCTAGTTGGAGGGAGGCGAAGAAAATGAACCTCTATGGTCAATTCACCGAGTACACAATCCAAGAGTGCATACATACCTTTTCATGCATTCTGACCTGATAAGAAGTGACAACAAGATTGCCAGTGCTGTCGGTTAGTTGCCGTATCCTTCAGTATCTCCAACCAACCAG